TCTTGGCTAGACTGGCTAGCCAGACAGCCTCAGAGATCCTCCTGTCTCTTCCTCCCCAGCACTGGGATTACAGGTGTGTGCTGCTGGGGCTCAGCTTTTTTTTTTTAATATGAATTCTAGGGGTGGCACTCAGATCCCTATACTTGCATGTCAAGCAGTTTGCTGAGTCACTTTCTTATCCCCTCTTTTAAAGAATTTTAGAAAGTTTTGTTTGTTTTAATAATACTGCATTCTTTGAACATACTCTGAGTAAGTCAAGTCTCCTACTCCCAGGTCCCTTCCCAGGTCCCCTCCCAGGTCCCCTCCCAGATATCCTCCCAGGTCCTTTCCAAGGTCCCCAGGTCCTGAGGTGCTTAGATCTGGGAGGAAGGCTACTAGTCGAAATCACCTTTCTGGCTGTACCATGGGCCAGGCAGGTGCCATTCAGGATGTGTCCAGGGACATTTTCAGAGAAGAGAACAAAACAGGAGAATTCCCACGTCTCTTCCCTTCCTCTGTGCACACTCCAGATGAAGACCTCAGGTCAAATCTTGAACCGAGACAACGGATGCAACTTGAAGAAAAGCCCTGGAATTGTGAAGAGACCTGCAAAGTTGTCATTGCTGCGGTCCATGTGACTACAAGTCTGCCTTGATGGAGGGCTTTGTCCCTCTGAAGTAAGTCACAGTGTGAGTGTGTGTGTGTGTGTGTGTGTGTGTGTGTGTGTGTGTGTGTGTGTGACGGGGGGAGGGTATGCCACAGAATCACAAGGAACTGCTGCAGAGCCTGCTCTGGCAGCATGAGCCAGCAATGTCCCGGCAGTACGGGGCAAGGCAAGAGAGCTAGCGAGAGGAACTTCTAAAGCACGTCAGTTCCAGGAATGAGCTGCGTCTGCCCGTGGTGGCAGAGCTCAAAGGTTTCTACGGAACTACACATTTGCGGGCAATTTTGATGAAAGTACAAATTCAAGTAACCCTATCCTGTGGAACGATCTGCTGATGGACACATTTCAATCACTTAGCAGATCACTTCCTCGGCGGCGAGAGTGCACACAAGTGAGTTCCCATCAACTCTTAGCAGTCATTTTTCTACCACAGTCTCAGTTGCCTGACCCAGAAACTCTCCTGTAGCAATGATTAGATCACCCTCCTGGGCAGACACATCCTGCCCCCTCCTCTCTCGTCACCCTGCATCCACTGTGCCTCATACTCAGACTGTGGGTCATCGGACACACTCAGAGGCCAGATCCATTGCCTGACTATTTTTTCTTTTGGCCAGTACGTGTTGGAAAGTTGGAACTTTGTGAGACAGAGCAATCTCCCCCACTCTCTCATGACTGACTGCCTCACAAGCACTTCTTTCAAAGAGTCTCATTCTTCTGAGCAAGCATTTGCTGACTCACCCGGGGAGCTCACAACTTCCAGGAAGTTGGGTTGGCAACAGATGCTGGCTAAAGAGCCAAGACAATTGTTTTCCCATTATTCTATTACCAGCTGGCAGGCAGGATGCACAACCCCAATCGGAACTGCTCCTTCCACAGGAAGTCCTGGGGACCACCGGGAGACAGCGTGGTTCTCTTACCACCTGGGCATCTCTAAGGATCTCAAAGGTTACCTGGTCTGGACTCAGGACTCTTTCCTTAGAAACCCCTGCCTCTTACATCACTGAAAGTTTGTCTCCGTCCTGGGCCCAAACTATCCTCAGATCCAAATAAACCACAGTCCGAGAAGAATTTGATTACTAAAGTTACTATGGCAAAGTCTAATTAGAAGTTTCAATTTTTCTAGAGTCTTCCTTGGGGCCCTAGTTTAATAAAATCACTCAGCAAATGGTGGCCAGTTCCTGAGAGAAGGGAAGGGATGACTGTTTTAATTCTGCAGGCCTTGATTTCCATATTGATCATAACATCATATGTTTCTGTTACTACTTTGTGACAGAAGAGAAACTCAGACCGTGTCAAATTCATTCATCAGTATTAGAAGAAATTCTACAATAAGAAACCAAGTGTAACAGGAAACCAAATTTTGATGTTTTGCTTTGTGCTGAGCCAGCTGGTCCAGAGGAAATGGTCTGATCCCTACACCAGACCCCATATTCCTACCCAGTTCCCCTTCCTGGGACCTTAGTGAAGAGCTGTCCTTGGACACACTCTTCAGTGTCATTTAATTTATGGTTGACACTTGCTTCTTTACATTTGAAGTCTCTGCAGCACATCTGCCTTGAAGGTGAGTGTTTTATGAACTCTTGCAAAATTTGGTTCCATCTAGCATTCTTTCTTTAAAATGTTAGTTGACCCAAATTCACCTCCTTAAGGCTCACCGAACAGTCTGGAAATAGCTGGGCCCTGAATTTGAATGCACGGGAAAAGCTCTGGATATACTCTGAAGATACTAAAGAAAAGTAAGGACAGATGTCTCAAGATCTTCATCCAAGAAAGGCTGTCCTTAACTATCAGAAATTTGACTTAAAATGTGTATTTTTCAAAAAGTGACTAAGCTGAACATAGGAATTCACTGGAGCACCGGAAGAGGCCCCAAATGTACAAAAACAACAACAACAACAAAAACCAAGCGCCTCTTTGCTGAGCTGCTTTGAAATGGTTCCCAAGGTGACAGGAACGTGGAAAGCCTGTGAAGGCTTACAAGAAGCCGGAAGCTTGGGAAGTGGATGCAGAACAATCAGGAGTTCAAGGCCAGCCTCTGCTACACAGAGAGTTCAGAATTAGCCTGGGCTACATGAAACTGTATCTCAAAAAGCTAAAACCAACTAACCAAGATTTACTTTTTCCAAACATTTTGCACTTATTTACTTATTAATTCGCTGTTTTTGTGTGCTTCTGGGCATGCCAAGCACATGCCCTGGTGCCCGTGAGCAGGTCCAGAGGACAGCTTGTGTGAATTGGCTTTCCCTTCTTCTCTGTGGGTCCCGCGTTGTCAGGCCTAGGGAAAGCCTCTACCGAGGAAGTCACCTCCTCAGCCCTCAACCAAACTTTGTGACAAGACTTTCTGCTTACAGGACCGACCAGCTGCAGCAAAGCCAAGCCTTCAATGGCCTTTTGGTGCATCTCACTGCCAAGCCCTCTCAACCCTCTCATGGCCCATGTGTGCCTCCTCCCACCTCTGTGCATGCCAGGAAACACTCATGGTGTATTTGCTTTGGGCCAGGCATCCTTCCACACACTCCACTCACATCCTCTTTATTTCCATAGTAACAGCATGCAGAAGGCACTAAACTGACTTTGCATCTGGCAATTAAGGAAACTGAGGCAACGCTAGAGAACCAACTGTGCCAGGTCTTCATTGTATTCGCCTTTTCACCTCCAAATCAACCCTTTTTTATTCGCTCTGTTAAAATGGATTCCAGCCCTTTGTAGAGTCTCCCTTAGGCTGCTGGAAAATGCTAAACGTTGTCAGTAGGGGGCGCTGAAGAGATACAGCTCTGCGGGTTCCTGGGCCAGGCCCTGCAAAGCCCCCATACCCCTCCTCCCAGCCCCCGACAGCTGCTATAGCAGAGGGGCTCAACCTCGTACATCCCAGGGCAGGGCTCTGGCAAACCTCAGAGGATGGATTTTCAGAAAAAATGAAAAAAAATCCGTCATCTATGGAGTCACACCTCAACCTTTCCAGAGCGGCTCCTTTATTTCTGTGGCTACTTGGGCTCCTCAGATCTGCTACAGTTCTTACTAGACAATTTTCTACTCAGTAAATAATGCAATCCACTGAAAATTCCCAGATAATTGTGGTTTCTCTCCTGGTTAGAACCTGACTGGCTGGCACCTCCACCCAAAGCCACAGACCAGGAACAATAGTGGCCTGGCAGAGCCTCTGGTCCTAACCATTCTGTCATGTTGCTTCCTCTGAAAGGGGCAGGCACAATGGAACACAAAGGAAGAGTCTAGGCAGAGGAGATGACTTGCTCACGGCAGGGAAAACACACCAAACCAGGCTGGATCCCCATAGCCTATGGTTTTGGTGTTGTTTGATTGGTTGGTTGGTTTATTTAAGACAGGGTTTCTTTTTGTAGACCTGGCTGTCTTGGAACTTGCTCTGTAGATCAGGCTGGTCTCGAACCAAGAGATCTGCCTGCCTCTGCCTCTTCAGTGCTGGGATTAAAGAAGTGTATTATTATCGCCTGGTTTATTTGCTTGTTTATTATTTTTTTTAATGCCATTCTATAATCCGGTGCTGGAGAGGCTGAGATATGTAGATACTTGGGGCTCAAGGGATATCAGCCCAGCCTATTTGGCAAGCTCCAGGTCAGTGAGGGTTTTTTTTTTTTTAATTTATTAAAAACAAAACAAAAACTTTTTTTTTTTTTGGTTTTGTTTTGTTTTAATGGCTAGTGCCTGAACTTTGATACCTAAGATTGTCCTCTGGCCTCCTCAAGTAAACACATATGTACCTACACACACCTACATCTGAACATGTGAGCACACATATTTGAATACACACACAGACAGATACACAGAAAGAAACAAAGAGCTGGTGAAGGAAGGGAAGAGAAGGAAGGAAGGAAGGAAGGAAGGAAGGAAGGAAGGAAGGAAGGAAGGAAGGAAGGAGAAAGGGAAGGCACTGGCTGCTGGAGGGCACAGCAGAGAGAACACAGGGACAAGACGGTCCCTCAGGTAGAGTTTGTAAGTTTGCCAACAAATACAAAAAAAGACAGTGGTCTAGAAAGAGAGGCCATGTGCAGCGGTGGGAGAGGGAGGAAGGGAGCTACCTTACAACAGGGACAGAGGTGTCACCAGAGCTCCTGTGCCATGCTCCAAGTCCCTGCTTTTTCTAGGCTCCTATAAGCTGCCTGAGCAGTCATCCTTGAATCTCCTGCACCAGCCCCTGAGAGGCAACCTTTTCCGCCCTGCATTCAGAAACACACAGGACTTTTATGATGACCAGAGGTGGAATAGAAAGAGACTCGGTGTCACCCGAGAGTTGTAGCAGGTATTATCACACTGAGCAGAATACATGGCAGAGAAATGCATGGATTTCAAATAGCTGTATTTATTTCCATTTTTTTTTTGTTGCAAAAACTAATTTGTTCTTAACTCCACAAATGCATATTTATGAAGAATACTTGAAAGAAAATATGAGGGTGCGTATTGCTAGGCCATTTGATCATGATAACTTCCCAGTGTGTGTGCGCGTATGCGTGCGTGCATGCATATGTGCGTGCGTGCGTGCGTGTGTGTGTGTGTGTGTGTGTGTGTGTGTGTGTGTGCTGAAACCACTGATGTCCTCACCCAGTCATTCTCAGGCTCTCAATGAAACAAGGGCTTTGGCTGACAAAAGCAGGCACTGTGGGGGTGGGGTGGAAGAGAGGCAGAGGGCTCTAGGGTTTGCCTGTGTGCTGCCTCTTTGCCTGTCCATTTCAAAGTCAGCCTCTGGTGCTCCAAGGTGTATATGACAAGCAGACTTTGAGCCATACTTTGGATTTCAGAATTGGCAGACATTGAAATTAGAAATTAAAATATGATAGATTTTTGATTCTCAAAAACTTAATTAAAAAAAAGCACTGCACACCCCCCCCTCCAAAAAAAACCCCAATATCTAAGCATACTTGAATATATAAAGCTTCCCTGCTTGGGTGGAAATGGTATACTGGAAACTTCAGAAGCAATGGTAAAATTCACAAGTCAAAGTAATAATAATAATAATTAAAAAGGGGGTGGGGTGGTATGTCAAGCAGGTTCCGAGTAACAGAAGTCCCAGCAACGGACTGCTGGTCTTTTGACTCCGGGACTGTTGCTTTTGTTTCCTTGGGTCTTTCGGAAATAAAAGAAAAGAAAAGAAAAGAAAAGAAAAGAAAAGAAAAGAAAAGTATCTTTCACATGTGAAGACAGTGTTAAATTTAATGGGTCATCCAACGTCGGACGTCTTCCCAGATCTAGGCTGTGGCTAGCAGGGCCACCTGGGATCAGACGGCATTTCTCTGAAGGAGCTGGTCCAGTAATTGCTGGAGGAACAACGGAAACAAAGATGTCAAGTTCCCCTTTCCTGCGCACCACCCCCTGTTCACGCCTGCGTGCGCCAGGCAAGCTACCTTTTTGAAGACTTCTGCTCGGAGTCTGTTACTCTGTAAGATCACTCTTTTCTTTTGCTCTTCTCTTTTCTTTTTAACTTCCGGCAAGTTATTATAGATTCTGAAACAGACAGAGGGCAGGATGAGGAACAAGAAGGCAGGTGTTGGGGTGGGGGTGTGGGCAGTCTGGCTCGTCAGCAGGAAGGCGGGCACAGGTAGGGTCTTCACATGGTAAGGTGGCGTCTTGAAGAAAAACTCCTTTCCCCTCAGAGTACATGGGGGACCCCACGGAAGAGGAGCCAAAAGAGGGTAAGAGCCAGAGGGGATGGAGGACCCCAGGAGAACAATGCCCTCTAAACCCCAACCAAGCAAAGCTTGTATGAACTCATAGGGCTTGCTTGGGTCTGTACCAGGTCCTCTGAATAAATATCACAGCTTTCAGTTCAGTATTTTTTAGGACTCCTGACTATGTGAACGAGTGGGTCTCTGATTCTAGTGCCTTCTCTTGGGGGCTCTTTTATTTCTGTTGGTTTCTCTTGTCCAACTTCAGTGTGATGGCTTTTGTTTTTTCTTATTGTATTTTATTTTGTTAGAAAATGATAAAAGATTAAAAAATAAAAAGATTTAAATATATTTATAAACCATATTAAATCCATAGTCCTGAAAAAAAAAGAAAAGACCTTCTCTGAGGTCCCAGGATGTAGACATTCTGGGAACAGTGTTTCAATGACGGGACTTGGGCAGTATAGCAGGCAAGCTGGGGAGCCCAGATATTTATGTAGAAGTCACTTCTTATCCTGTATTTGCAGTGACAATGACTCACTTGTAAAAGGAGGGATGTTCTGATGTGGGACTTCCCTCTGTATGCTATGAATATGTTTTACTACCATTGGTTATTAAAGAAACTCTTTCAGCCAGTGGTTTAGTAGAGTTAAGCCATGCAGAAAATCCGAACAGAGATATAGAGAAAAAGTAGGGAGAGTCAGGGAGACGCCATGTAGCTGCTGAAGGAGAAAGATGCCAGCCAGAACTTTACCCCATAAGCCACAGCCTCATGGCAATACACAGATGAATAGAAATGAGTTAATTTAAGAGATGAGTTAGCTAGAAATATGCCTAAGCTATTGACCAAACAGTGTTGTAATTAATATAGTTTCTGTGTTATTATTCAGGTCTAGGTGGCCAGGAAATGAACGAGCAGTCTCCCTCTAAACAATGATCAACCTACTGGTTTGCCATTCTGAAAGTCAACATTTCCTATATAACCACCTTTTGGCCATCCAATGTTTGACTTCCTGAAATTTGACAAGGAACAACAGGATGGCAGTAGCAAGAATCATATACTGGGACAAAAACGTTTGCTCTTAGCCTACGGCATGTCTGATTAAAGCTGATTCTAAATACATTCTGGACTCAAATATTTTGTCCTTCTCCCCATGTAAATTATGAACTTCTGAGTTACCAGCAGGGCTTAAAGGACCCTTGTCTAAGAAGGTTTCTTCCTCCCCAACACTAACTGTTCAGTACTGATGCTACCTGATTTTTCTCCAACACATTGGACTCATTTCACCCTGATCCTGTAGGCATATAGATATAAATAGAGATAAAGATATATTAATATAGCAATATGAAAAAAACCTTTTTTTTTCATTTTCTCTTCTGTGTGAAAGTCAGATGGAAGACAGTTGCGATGTTCAGCACTTAGAAGCACGAGTGCAGAGTATGAAAGGACAATGGCAGTCTCAGCAGGTCACATCTGGCTAGTCACCAGACATGAGTAAACACGTTCTGCCCTCGCAAGCACTGGAAGAGGCACATAGGGTCCCTGTGTCATACAATAAGAAACATGAGTCCCAACAAGAGCAAGAGGTTTGGGCACAGCCCTCAGATGGCTAATGGTGGACTGGCATTGGGACCTCAAGTTGAATGCTTACTACTCACTGTTAGGCATTGTGCCCCAACTATGTAGCACACAGCTACTCACAAAGCCCTGCAGGGGCCTGTGATTTGACAGTGCCTGGCACTTCATGGGTAAGAGTGAGGGTTGAGTGAATGTGTGAATGTACCTTTGCTGCAGTCAGGCGGGATTTGAACAAGGACCAGGAGAGAAGATCACAGAGGAGTTGGTTCCAAAGCCCTCAAGTGGGTGGTTCCAGAGCTCCAGAAACTTCTCTCCTTGAGCTGACCCTCCAACTCAAATGGGAAGAGGAAACAAAAGCTTCCATGTCCCACCTCTGGCCTTGCACTGATTCCTCCAGTGAGAGCCTGATATATATTAGTATGCCCACCTAAAATACACTGAGTGGACAGGCAAAACCTAGGAGAACAGAAATCTGCCTCTTGGAAAAGCTCATGGGCGACACCAGGAAAAAGCAAGCACAGCACGATACCACATGTGGTTAAAGACCATGTATCTGCTTAAAGGTACAAATGGGAGGCTCTGAAGGGAAAGAGAAAGGAGACAGACTGTGAGCACCCTAGCAGATAGGTCTGGGACTGAGCCAAAGGCAGCAGGCACATTGATCTTGAGGGAATTTCAGTTTTACTCTACTGCTTGGTTTAAATATAAGCAACATAATCCAAGACAAGGAATACAAAGAAAAAGCAGTGTCAGGTGACTGTGGGGAGCCAGGGTCAGAGCTCAGCCGGAACATTCCACTAGCAAGGAGATCCAATTGCTTAGTCCATCCCAGGACACCAGTTAAGGGCCATGGAAGACTGTAGATACAGCATCACCTAGCTTACTGGTCCTCCTTGAACATCAGTTTCTTCTTCAGAGACACGCCAGGACAGATCTCGGTCTACCAATGCTGCTTTGAAGCCCATTAATTAAATTGTTTGGTGGGCAAGGGCTTGTAATAGCAGTTTTAGGTTTGGGGATCAATAAGGGAAATTGTTTCTTTTCTTTCTTTTCTTTTCTTTTTTTTTTCCCATTAAATTGAAGAGAACGCTTTTGTTGCAAGGTATATACAACTTTTCATTTATGAGAACAGCGAGTCTTCAAATTGAGGGGTCCTTTATAAGCCCCAGCTAGAATGCTGGGAGTCATATCATTAATGGTATGCCCCCTCCCCAATCCTTGTTTTCTTACTTTCAGAGAGGTTCCCTGTAGGTAACCAAAAGTTACTTAATTATTATGGAAACAACATAATCACGATAAAAGCAGAGATTTAGGGTCTGGGATGGGGGCAAAATTATTCTTCCTATTTCGGTGGTGTCTCTGAGTGCACTATCAATTTGATTTAATTACTATAATCTTTCCCAGGGCTAGGCACTTTATTATAGCTTAATGACATTTTATGTGTGTGAACATGGCCAACCCTGCTGAGCTTTTGTGTCCTGGTTAAGAGGCTAGGTCCTAAAAAGAATAGTAGCCTTTGTGTGCCCCAGAGTGGTAAGAGTCAGTGGGAGTCTTAGATAGGGACTCGCCAGGCAGAGCGGGGAGAACCTTGGTGGCCCCTGCCAAGACTGCCGGAGACAGGCATGCCAGAAATGCCGGTTTGTGGCCCCTCCGAGGCCCCTCTGGCTTCCATGCTCTGTTGGCTTCCAGTTTGGAAGCCTTTCCTCAGGACCGCCCCAGTCAAGGCCCTCCATAGAAACGGGTTCTCTGCTCCTCGTAAAAAGACTTTCAAAGGTGCTGCCGCTCATGGGCTCATGGCTTCTGCCCAGCGCCACGAGGCAAATGCACTGGTAGAGTTCCAGTGTAGAACCTGCTGATCACTCGGGGACCAATTATGGGCCCGCTCCCGAATCCAAGACCCACCGCTTTCCTAAGGTTGGTCCAGAAGCAGCATAAACATTCCGATGCACAGCCCGGCAACTTTGTCTACCTCAGCCGCCAAGATGACCTCAGCCCTTCAATGTGAGCCTGGAAGCCTTGGTCCGAGGGGCAGCATCAGGGCCTTTCAAGCCTCCCCGCCCAGCTCTTTCTACACCTCCCGCAAGAGCCACGTACCTTTTAGACCGCATATGCATCTCCTTCTCTGAAATGCACCTTTCTTTGGGTTTGAACAAGTTATCTGGAAGAAACAGAAAGAGCGTTAATTTCAGGAGCTACAGAACAAACAGCACAATGTAGGGAGCGACCCAGAGGTAGATCCAGAGCAGGGTTCTGACTGTGCCGGCCTCCGAGCCGTGGGCTGCAACAAAGACTCTGGGTTTCCAATTGACCAGCCAACCGCTGGTCTTAGTGAGAGTTAAGCAGGGCAGCAGAAAAACCTCAGCATCTGTTTGAGTTGTCAACATGACGACCTAGAATCACTGGGGAAGAAAGTCTTCATGAGGAAGTTTCTAGATGAGGCTGTCCTGCGGGCGTGTCTGTGAGGGGCTGTCTTGATTGTTGAAGTAGGAAGGCGCACACGGAAGGTGGCTGGTACCGTTTCATGGCTGGGCCCTGTACATGTTAAGAACACTGGCTGTTCTTGCAGAGGTCTCAGATTCAGCTCCTAGAACCCCAGGGTGACACACAACAGTTTGGAAGCCCTGTTTTCAAGGGATCTGACCCTTTCTTCTGTCTCCAAGGGCATCAAGCATGCATGTAGTGTACACATGCAAACAATTTTGCTCTATGTATAAAATAAAAATAAATCCTTAAAAAAAAAACAGTGAAAGCTAGCTAAGAACCAAATATACAAGCAGGCAAGGGTCCCTGGACTCTGTCTGCTCTTGACTTGACCATCCCCTCAATAATGGACTGAAACTTGGAATTCTAAGCCTAATAAGCCATTGCTTACTTTACTTTGCTTTTTGACAGGATTTTCTTTTAGTCATAGCACCTGAACTATTGTATAGACAACTGTGCCACCAAATGCTTCTTTTAGAGAAAAAAAAAATAAGATGTCATATCTTGGTGGGAGAAACAATAAGTACCAGGCTGTCTGCTCAAAGGAAAATCCCTATACTATGTTTCTGAGGGCTCTAAGGACAGGGAAACCTCCCAGCTCTCCCCACAGCATTCTGAAAGCGGACGGTCTGGCTCCTGCCTGCAGTCCTTCAGCAAGGAGACAGCCTCGGCAATATGAGGGCCCTCTTAATCCCACTTAATCCTGGAAAAGCCATGGGACGCCATCAAAGTCACATATACTAGTGCCCTTTGATTAAGAAAGACACTAGGGTAGGAAACAATCAGAAGATTGGATTTCTTTTTTAATTTAACAGCATGTAATGGTTAGCTTCAATTGGCAACTTGACAAAACCTAACATCACCTGGGAAGAGAGCCTCAGTGCAGTGCAGGACTGTTTATTGGGCTGCCCTTTGGGCTGGTCTGCGGTGGGCTGTATTAACTATGTTAACCAATGTGGGAATACCCAGCCCACTGTGGGTGACACCATTCCTAAGCAGGGGGTTCTGAATAGTATGGGAATAGGTAAATCAAGCTGAGCATAGACAAGCATGCAAGTCAACAGGCATGCATTCATTTCTCTGTGCTCTGGGCTGTGGCTGTGAGAGGAACTGCTGTTTGAAGTTCTAGCTCTGATTTCCCCATGGTGATGAACTGCGAGGTGAAATAAATCCCCTTTTCCCCGAAGTTGTTTTTGGTCAGTATATTTTATCACGACAACAGGAATGCAAGCAAAACAATGCATTCATATCTCACACACACACACATGCATAATCTCTTTAAAATGGGATATTAAAAAATAGTTTCTACTGTTGATTATATCTGATAAGGCCCTTTTGCAGTGACTTTGGAAACCATGAGACTCTCGGCCTTAGTTTAGCCAAGAGTCTGGTCTCGTTTAGTTCTCCTACAGAGCTTGTCACAAGGGAGTCTATCTGGGCAGCTGCCGTGCTTTCTGGAAAGCCTGGACAACCAACTGACTGCCTTCACTCAGCTTAAACATACAGGTTTCCATGAAGGTACGGGGACACAGGGCTATTAAGCAATGTCTCCCCCTCTGGACAATAAAACAGCCCCTGGTTCACAGCATGGAAACCGCCTCTGCGGACAAGCTTGCATCCTGTCCTATCAATCACTAAAGAAAAGAAGATGGAATCCTTAAGACCTTCGAGGAAAAAAGTCAAGGGAGAAGCAGAAGAGAAAGAAATGCCAACATTTCCAAGTAAGGGGTAAAGTCCCCACTGTTCAGAAAGGCGGAGACTGTGAGAGGAGAGAAGACATCACCACATGATGCCGACGTGATGAGCCATAGCTCCTCCTGGTGCCCCACCCAGGCCTCCACCCCAGATGGGGCTCCCGGAATTTCCCAGTGTGAATAGGTATCACTATGAAGTATTAAGTCTGTCTGGGCCATGGGCAAGCAAATGTGTGCAGATTTGAAGACTTCCCTCAGGGAGGGAGAGGAAGCATTACACAAAGTCTCAGACCCAATTTTGGATTAGCATTCTTTTGGAGCTACTGGAGGCCAGGGTGAAGCCAGTGTAGGCCAATGCACTGTATCCTGGGGGGTTCTACTTGTTTTATAATCTCCATTCGACTGGTATGGGGTCTATTCTAGAAATCAGATGTTCATTTCCCCCCGATCTGTTTCTTCAGGGCACTTGAATACCACAATTAAGCTCTGGTTCTGTTTCCAGGAGGAAACAAAGGAGAGACAAGCCACCAGACACTTGCATGGCTGTTTTCTGAACTGTTTGCAGCCGTGTGAGGGCAGGAGGTCAAATCCCGGACCCAGCGGTCTTTGATAGGTACAAAACAAACAGGTATGTAACCAAGGAGGCTCAAGGCTGGTGGTCTCGCACCCACCCTGGGGAAGGTGGTTGCTATGGATTTTGAGTTTGCTTAAAATCACCAAGCTCTTCTGTTAAGTGGGATAAGTGATGGGGGCCTCCTAGCCAGGAGAAAAGGGAGGGGCAGAAGGCAGAGTGTGCATCTCCCTGGAGGGAGTGAATACATGCAGCAGATGTGTTCTGAGTGGCTCTAACTTCGCCTGAGAAGAAGACTCCATCTGCCTTGTACAGTGTTCTAGTTTCGTGTCTGTTACTGTCATAAAACATCGTGATAGAACAAAACCAAACAACTTAAAGGAGAAGGGGTTTATTTGCCTTACAGTTCCAGGTTATAGTCCATCATTTCAGGGAAGTCAAGGGAAGAACACGGGCAGCTAGTCATAGCCATAGTCAGAAGCAGAAAAAGAATAACGAGAAAGGCATGGTTGCTTACTGCTCAACTAGATTCTCTACTCTTACATACGCCAGGGCCCTAGACCCAGGGATGGCATTGCCCACTTTTAGTCTAGGTCTTTTCATACGAATTAAGATGATCAAGACAATCCCGCATGCATACACACATGTACATACACATACATATGCACACCACATATATACACCACACAAACATACACACGTGCACACCACAAAAACACACACCACACACATACACACATGCACACACTTGCATACACACCACACATATACACCACACATCACACAAATACCACACACACACACACACCATACACACATACACTATACACACACCATGCACACACCACACACACACATATACCATACAAATATGCTTGTGTGTGTACACAGACACACACACACCAAACTAATCTAGATCAATCCCTCACTGAGACTCTCTTTGCTGGTGATTCTTGATTGCAGTAAATTGACAAAGTATCTCAAATGGGGTCTGGCAGTTTGTGCGGGCACATGGGCAGGCAGACGTGGGGACATTGGGCATCTGAGTGACCACAATGATCCTGCCTGCACTTGCAGAAGTGTCCTCCCATGATTGTACTCTTCCTCCCAACCCTGTGACGTTGACCATGTTCTGTGTTTATAGGGCCAGGGTCCATTTGTTTCCAAAGTTTTACCTGCCAGGTTCACTGTGCATCAGTGAGAGGCAAGTCTGGGTTTCAGTCTCTATTAGCCTAGCGCTTTACACGGACACTCTTGACTGCAACACACTGCCACCCACTTGTGGCTACAGAATCTGTTCTCTGAGAACTATGAACAAGCGTTCTGTCATTTCTCATGAGATCAATCCCACATTCGTTTTCCCACACACTCTTCCTTTTATAGCTCTTCAAGGACACAGACAGTATGACTCATATGGGATTCATTTCATGGGATAGATTATGGTACACGTTCCCCAGGAACTCATGAGTTAGACTACTTGGTAGCACATTTGACGGTAAGGCCTTGCTGGAGGAAATGGGGTGCTAAGGGGCTGGTCTTGAAGTTTCTATAGGCTGCCTTGGTTTCTCGCTGGGTCTCTACTTCCTGATCCACCCAGGTAAAAGCAAATCATTGCATATTCTTACTGCCACAGCTGTGAGCTGCTTCTGCTGATGTATCTTCCCTGGCCACGAAGGCCGGCATCCTCCAACTGAGAGCCAGCATAAAGCCTTCCTCCCTCACGCTGATTTGTGAGATGTACACTTTGCTCAAAGATACGGATGAAATCCCATCTGCTCATTCCTGCTTACAGAAATTCTCCTCTTATAAAACTAAGGCACTGGTGAGAACCATTTTCAACTTCCTTCTGGATCTTTTACGGATTTTCTTAGAGCTGTGTATATTCTGATGGCTTTGGAGGGAAGAGACCACAATTATATTTACTCTAGTATCACTCAAATAGAGGAGACTTCTCTCCATTAAAATATCCAAGTTAAGCTACATTCTGGAGAACACACACACCACACATACACCACACATGCATACATACACACACACACTACACACACCACGACTGCTAATATACTCACACAACACATACACACACCACAGATACCATATACACACATAATATACACCACACACACCACACACCACACATACCACATACACACAACCACACACACGACACACCACACATACCACATACATACACACACCACACACACACACATACACACACACCACACATACCAAACACACATAATACACCCCACACATACCGTATATATACACACACAACACATACCACACACAACACACATACCACATACACATACATACACACAACCACACACATACCACCACCACCACCATCACTACCAGGCCCTCTTTCTGACATCATTTAGCAAAGCCAAGCATTCCTAAGCCCCT